CGGTTTGGTCGATTTCCATAATATTTTCAAGTCTTATAAAACATTGAAAAATCTTTATACCTATTTTGTTTGAATTTTAATGACCTGACTTTGATCCGTTTTTTTTTTTTTTTTTTTTTGTTTTTTGTTTTTGCAATATAGTGAGTTTTGTTAGAGTCCGTTTATCTGCATGTTGTCTAATAAAGTACTTATCACCGAAATTTGAAACTTTCAGCAAATATAGAGCAATATATGAAGATCTGTAATAGGCAGTTCATTTCCCCGGAGAGTATCAAACAATGACACTTACTGTGACTCGATACCGAGAATCGAATTTCAAAAATTCTAACAATTTTTCTTCAATTTCTCTTTAAAGAAAAAGTTGTGCAGAATGTCCCAATCCTTCAAACTGGATCAACAGAAGGGGGTGTGCGTCTTGAACAGGGAGCTAGATGAACATTTTATTTTTACTGATAACTAAAATTTATTGAAAACTTTTCAGAATAACAGATAGTAGCTTAAGAAATCAAGAAATGCCGTCCGATCACTCCGGAAGTAGTCGTTAATGGCTATTTTTGCACACATGACGGTAGATGTCTCTCGATCTTGATCTCATTTAATTGAGAATTAAACGAAAAACTTAACTGTAGCTGTGCAACAAATTCGTCTATTTTCTTTTTTTATTATATATACAATATTTTTCAATTCATATCTCTAAAAGTTCGATTTTTTTCTTCATGAAATGATATGAAAAAAAGTTTTTATTTGTGCAAACACACGTAGGTAATCTCGAAATAGAAATCATTGAATATATTATTATAATTTGTCATTTCGTATCAATCAGTTTTATTTTTTAAAAAATACATCAGATGTATTAGGAGCAGAGCGTAATTTAGCACACTTTTTTTCTATGCCATGATTTTTTTCTTTATTGCCTCATTAAATGTATTACATAAGCATAAGCATTGGTTGCTTGAAAGATTTTCAATGAGCATAATGTACTGTAGGCTCCTAAATATAGGCTATATCAAGGTATTAATTATTGCATAATTTCGCGAGAAGTATCGCTCGCCAAATAAATTTACTCGTTTAGATTTTTATGGTGCTGAAATCCATATAAAACCTTTTCAACCAACGATCACTCGCAAATTTTTGTTCTCGCGATTTGACATCAAAGATATCTATATCATGTTCTAATTAAGGCATAATTTAATATTGCAAAGGTAGGATTCAAGGTTTCAGTGTTGTTTTTGACCGACTCCTGTTTGTAGGATATATAAATATATCCCGTACCCAGGTCACGGTGTACCTGATAAGTATACACTCCATGTACATGAAAACATAAGATAAAATAGACCGAACGACCTTAAATATTCAGTAAATGGACAGTGAAAAATTGTTGTTAACTCCCTGTTATTTCAAGGATGATTAATTCCCCGTAAATAGACAGACAAAGAAGAGATATTTGCACCCTAACAGTATAAAAAAAAAGAAACTAAGTGTTCAGTGTTTATTTTCATTGCTCCAATGAATAAATAGAACTTTAAGTTTTAGAAATAAAATGAAAGACATAAAACGGTTTATAAAAAAAGGAAGCTCAGTCGCGGATATTAATCGTTTACCATCGTCAATTTTTGAATAAAAAATGTCATTCATAGTAATTTGCTCACTGTAGCTAAAACTGAGGAACATGGGCATGACATTGCAAAGAAACAATCAAAACTATGCGCTAGTCCTCGTCAAACCTTAAAATAGGAATTACATTCCCTTGAATTTACTTTATCTTTCATTCTATCTTAATCTTTATTGTTAATTCATTAATAATGGGCTTAATGCATTTACAAAAATATCTAAAAATCTGATGGATCGCGTACTGTCAAAAAATTAAACCAGCAATAACGATCTTCGTTACAATCGAAATAATTTTTTTTTCACTAGGTGAAGGGGATGGGGGCATTAAATTATTGTTTTTCAAAATGTATCTTCATCATAGGAAAGCAAAGAAGAATATTTATGTGCATACCTTTTAAAATATACACATACAAATGAAAAATAGTCATCTACAGTGTCTGCTTAAAGACAAAATAATAATGAAAGGCATTAGGCATATCTACAATTCTATATATTCAATGTGTTTCCTTTTTCCATACACAAATTTCGGCCATTTATTTTCATTCTTGAGTTTTTTGTATAATGGGAACCGTCCAGTTTCCCCATATATCAAATAACTTGGATTGAGACATTGATTTGATCTTATTTTTTTCGTTGATGCAGCTTAATATCTTAAGCAGTGTAATATAACTTGTAGTTAGCAGTTTGATAAAAACAATTTCATATCAGACTGCCTCAGTACTTCCTTTAAAATTGGACAGTTACTGAACAAAGGGAAAAGAAGTGTGATTGTTGAGTAAACAGCAAATTGTTTAAATTCAAATGCACAATGATTATGTTGAAATTTTGGTTGTGTGAAATATGGAAGTAGAAAAAATTAATTAAGGTATTTAGAAGAAGCATGCGACGAACCAATAATGCAGCAAGTGGGTAAACATGTAATAAAACTAAAAATAAAGATAAACTGAAATCAATGTTTCAGCCCTTTTTTCGCTTTCTTATAAGAGTAGGCTCACGGGGGGAGGGGGATCGAAATACGAGAAATATAAAAACTTTCAAAAACCTCAAATTAATTATTCAGAAATAAAATAGAAATTTGAGATACTATAAAGAACAAGATACAAAAAGAAAGTGATTTGTTAAAATTATTTCATTTTTCTCGTGGAAAGAATCAAAATCAAAGTAGTATATGATCATTAATTGCTTAATTTGACACATTCATTACACTTTTGAAAAAAAAAATGACAGCATACCAACAACTCATTCGAAAGAAACAATGTATGGATTGCTTTTTCTCTGCTGTTAAGTGTCGAAAACTAAGTTACATGCGTTTGATGAACAGAGAAAAAGTGAAATGATCATGAACCTTCATCATATTCTTTAATTTCTGTGGTTTGTGATTTGAAATCAATATCAAATCTGCATTTCCCATTGAATTTCAAAATGTGTATTTTAAGGAAAAAAAAACTGTCCCCACTTTCCATATCAAACTTCTCAAATTGCTTCACCAACCTACTAGAGTACAGTTGATTACCTTAATACTTAGTACTTTATCATTTAAGCCCGAATTTTTACAACTCTTCTGATCTTATTAACACTTCAATTTGTCTTTTGTACAAATATCGGACTGTCTCAGGTAAATCAAAAAGCAATGTTTTAAGTAGGATAATTATATGACTCATACAATTCTGTATTAAAAATATCAGATAGTTCTCGTCCCTTAAGGGCCTCAAACTGTCCGATTTTATTTTTTCATACAGAACTGCATTTGCCACATTTATTAAACATGTACGTACTACTACTTAAATTCAATATATCAGTTTCAGAAAACGTAAATGTACTCGTTCAATTATATCATTATTTTCATAACCTCAAATTTCACAGACACATAACAATACTGGTAAAAGTACGTTATCAAACAGGTACAATTGACATGAAATGGATGATTAAATTGATTAGATAATAATACGTGTCACTTTTTACAAAGCCTTTACCGCACAACATCATACGATAGATCAGTATATCGTCTCGGTACAATACGCTTCCTACATACATGTCTGTTACAATATTATGCAACAAAAATATTTCAAAAATGACATTTTAGGGAACATTAAGGCTGTGATCCATGAGCATGAGAAGCATAGAAAATTAATGTCTAGACATGTGATTTCTCTTTGTAGAATAGCGGGAATAATTTGTCCGAATTAAATGAAATTTCTTCAGATGTGTCTAAATGTTAGATAATAATTTTGAAAAATACATTATAACAAAGAAAAGAATCATCATTTTGCCTCATTTACAACTAGACACAGGTTTTCTCCTTAATCGTCCGTCTTGCGTGTACCCCAAAAGTGCACACCAGGTAGAACTTGAAGTCATGATTTGTTACAGTCTTGTGATCCGCAAGATAAATGTGCGACCTTGTCAGCAAATACAGTTTTTGTTTGAGTCAACTGCTGACTGACGATTTTCACACTAATTGTTAGTCCATTATTTATACACTGAATTGACGACGGATTTTTTCCGTTATTTCCTGATCATGAAAAGGAGCACACAGCGGGTGTGACCGGTCAGCAGTGGATGCTCACTCCTCCATGGCACCTGATCCCCACCTCTGATATTTTTTTAGGTCCCTGTTTGCTCTGTTTCTATTTTGTATTGTTTAATGGACTTTGATATTGAATACTGTTTGTTATCTCCATATCCTTCACTGTACTAAGCAAAGTAAACATTATTTTTTTCATGTATTTACTTGTCCAATGACCGTTAATTTATTTATATATTTTCTATGTTTTTAATTCATTTTTATTCTTTTATCATTATTATTATGTTTTATGTAAAACGTTCCCGTTTTTGCATTCTAGTCAGTCACTTGCTTGTTGTACAAAAGAAATAGAGCTGATGAAACTCTTCATGTAGACTAAGTGAAATTTCATTTTTTTTTTCTTCTTTTAGTGGAAAGAGAGGGGGGGGTGATAAATAAAATGAACAAAGTCAGACCTAATGGCATACCAGGTTGTTTCAAATTTGAAAATAGTTTACGTATTATAAATAAAATTTATCCATTATGTGAAATAGGAAAGGAATGCCAATTTTTAAGTAGGATATTAAAGAAGCCTTGTTTAAATTGTTAAAGCCGTAATTTCTTGATTAATTCTTTTAGTTTTTGAAAGATAAAGGAGCTTGTCTGTAGATTTATTGAATGTATTAATATAATCATTTTATTTTTAACCAATATTAATATTCTTAGGGAAAAATAAATATTTTAGTTCTAAGCATTAAATTTGTAGACACTTTGTTTTATTTTATTTTTTTTTATTTTTTGAATTGCGATAATATCACAAATTGCATTCTTTGCCTGTTGGGACATAATGATTAATGGTGTATCATCTTTTTTTATCGCATTTCAGACAGCATTTAATAAAAGATCTTTTCAACCGAAACATTTTACTGGTTTTGATCAACCACATTTTGAAGTTCCGGAGTCCGATATTGGCGAGACATCTGTTAAGGTAAGTATATCTAGATAAATGAGAAAAAAGTATATCAGTGTGAAAAAATTCTATTTAATTGATGCCACAATAAAGTGAATGTGAAGATCCGTCGTAAAAGAGCAGTTCTATTTATTTTCTTTATATCTTTTTTTTTTGGAAAAGAGAAATCTTATTTTTTTTAAGCGGGCATTTTCTTCTGTAAAGCTCCAAGCATGTCTTTGTTTTATTTTCTCAAGCAAAACAGTTTTTTTTTTCGATTTACCAATATCTATTTTTTTCAATCCAGTGTTCCGAATTTCTTTCAATAGATATCATTAGATAATCAATCGAATAAATTATATTATTACTAATTTTACTTCCCTCTTGAAGAAAAACCACTTAGGCGCTGTTCAACTTAAAAGGAAAATTTATAAGGAAGCAACCATACAACATCCTGAGCCGGACTATGATACAGATGACGGCGTAAATCTTTTGCTCTTTTTTTCCACTATCTTCTCTTTTTCCGCCCTTTGTATCTCTCTCTCACACACTCTCCCTCCTCCCTCTTTCTCATCTTCATTCTCTCTCTTTTTTTCTATTGCTTTCCTTTCTCCCTCTCTACCCACAACAAGTGCTTTGTGATACTTTTCAGGTGGTTAACGCATTGCTCTTAACTTAATAATCCTGTATCTTTTAAACAAAGTATTATTAAGTTATCTTGTAACATCATCCTAAATGCGCAAAAAATGATAGAAATAGGTCCTTCTGAATCACCTTATTACCTACAACAAAGATGCTTAATCCTTCATGGCACCTTATCCAAGCTTTGGAATTCCTGGGCTCCAACTTTGTGTACAATGTACACAGGGAAAGGTGGCTAATGTGATATTCATGTGATTATCTTTTTATGCGAAAATTATATGAAAATCAAATGAAAATTATATAAATATATTTTCATGTGAATATCATGTGAATAAAAGTTTATATGATATTCACATAAATCTTCTTTTGAACTTTCATGTAAAGTTTTCTTTGCTTGATATTTATGCAATATGCTCTTCATGTAAAATTCATATGAAATTTATTTTAAATTCACATGAAGTTTTCACATTAATTTCACATGTCTTGTTCTTCATGTTTTTTTTTCTTGTGAAGAATTTACATGAAATTTATGTGAGCCACTTTTGCACTGTGTATGCCTTTTTCACAGAACTGAATTGTTGGTAACCTTATGGAAATCGATCGCCGTTCCTTTTCTTCAACATTTTCATTAGTACTATCATGTAATTTTTATTACTTTATTAAATTTTCATCAGAATAATGAAAGGGACGACCTTAAAGCAAGCAAAGATTTTACAAGCATTTCTGATAAAGAACTACTGGAGCCGGATTATGAGGATGTTAAAGATACAGTATGTATAGTGAAACCTTTCTAATCGTACATGCACCTGAAGACAAATGTGTCAGATTATAGAAATTGTGGTAATGCAAAATGTAAAGAACGCAAAAAACAGTATAAAAAACAGAAATGGACAATAAAGAATTGAATTCACAGTAAAACGAAATTCAAATTTTCTAATCGTTTTCATTGTTCACACTCCTTTTTTTGAGGGGGGTTGTCTCTTTAGAATAGAGTATTATTATTTATTGAATTGAAGCTAGAATATAGTTGTATATTTTACACATCAATTAATCTATTTTGGTTAAGAAATGTCTAGTGGTTAACGTTCTAATGTTCTTTTCGCCTGAGTTTGGTTTTCACCGTTTTATTTTTTTTTCAGAAGGAAAAAGATGGAAATCACAGGTTTAAACCTTCGTCAGACAAAGTTAGGAAGTTGGATTCAATAAGACAGAAAGATAAAAAAGAGTAAATTTAAAATTTATTAAAATTATGACCCTCTCAAAAAATATCTTTTTTTCCATTCTTTATCTTAAAGGAAGAAAAAAAAAGATGCTTGGTAACACAACCTGGTAAGGGATTGAACATAGTTTTTCGGATTATATTCATAGATATATGTCACAATCAAAATGTCTTTTAAAAGGCTAGCTAGTAAAATCTGTCATAGGCTAGGTAAAATTTTGCTGACTATCTCTTTGAAATATTATCTATTTTAGACCATGGGATGTATTTCGAATTATTGAGAGAGACGAAAAACGGCGAGACGTTCATGCACATATCAGTTTTCGAATCATCAAAATACTCGCATATGTCATGTTGTTCGGTTTGATGTTGACAAGTTTAGTCACTCAAAAAATCACCTTAGCCATTGCTACCTCAATGGTACGATCGGAAAGGACTTCAGTGGAAAGCACTTCCGGTAGAGGGAACACAACTTTATCAAGTAGCAAAAACGTGCGTTACAAAGCTTAATTTATTCAAGACAATAAAATACGTATATTATTGCATGCATACACATTGAATTTTAAGTTAGAACAGTTCTTAAAAATTCCAATAATATTTTTAAAAAAGAACATAGTGATCGTACTTGTGCAATCTTTTTAAAAAGAAATACAACATAGAGATTTTTTTGATTTAGTCAAATCGAGAAAAAAAGTTAGAAAAGTATTGTGTTTCTTTTCAGATTGCACAAAACTTTGTTATAGCAATACGGATTTTTATATATTTATTATTATTATTATTTTATTTTTATGCAGAAGTCAGAACCCGCTGTACATAGCTTTCTCCTCCTTATAGCCATGTGTACTCCATACATTTTCACCTTTCTCTCAAGCGCGTGGAGGGTGTGGTTTGGAAATATACATAAACCAAGCATTTCCAGTATAATTATGGTATTTAGTTTTAATGTTTGACAGCCATTATCAAAGAAAATAATGTACGTGTATGTTTATTTTTCATCCTTGTTAATATATGCAACGTATTATATGTTGATAAAAAAACGCAATTAAGGTCATGGACTGACTTGGCTATGCACAGCCCGTCATTTCCTTTAGTATATCTTTAAAGTGCTTAGCACACATTTTAATGATGACTAATCAAATTACGTTTTAAATATTGTTTTTTTTTTATGTTTTTTTCTATGTTGATGATGTTTATGGTTGCTTATCAATTCTAGCCAAAACTCACGTTTAAAGAAAAATAAATAAATTATTATTAAAAGAATTGACATCTTCTATTTGCTGATTCTTACGACATACTTATCTTGATCCAAATCATAATATTTTGGTTAAGTTAGCTCATATAATTTCAATTATAGCACATATGTATATTGTAGCAGTAAAATAGTGCCCTTAAAAGTCAGCAATGAAATATTGTAAATGATAAATGATTTTTTTTTCATTTCAGATTACAACAGTAGAAGTCCTTCATTCTATAGGATTGTCCCTTTTAGTGTTTCATCTGTTGCCAAACTTGGGACCCATTCGAGGAATATGTATACTTAGTGCAACATCCATCATCCCCAGTATTTTAAAACCATTTTACACAGTAGATGCGAATTTATTCCCAAGAAATAACGAACAACGAAAACGCATACTAATATTTGTTTTGAACTTGGTCGCCTTTTTCCTTCACTTATCTGTGTTACCATTTCTTCTTGTTTCAAACACACAGTATGCATTTAATGGTGAAATTTCCCCCATACATATCAACGGCGAGATCCCTGATGTCTGGAATATCGATGCAGAAACAGGTTTAAAATATGTGTTTTCACTTCTGTTAACGTCAGGTCTTTGGTGGGAGAATTTTCTGGATAAGATCAATGGGAGCGGAAAATTTAAGCAGTTTCTTTTGAGAATAAGATGTGAAATCGATAAAAGCAGGTCTTATATTTACGTTTATGTGTCTATATTGAAATTCATAGCCTCAGTACTCTGTGCACGTCTTATAGTTGGAGAGTCATTGAATCTTTTCAAAGTCGATTTCTGGGCAGCGTTTACAAAGAATCAAACACTAAGTGATTATTCGGATATACTTATTCTGATCGCATCAGGCTTTGTTGGCTATTATGTTGCATACACATCCTGCAAACTGCATATGCAAATATTTTCTTTTTCTTTTCCCTGCTTATTATCTACACCAGTTGCCGTAATTCTAATGACAGTATACTGTCAGAGCAGTTCAAACCATTTTCCCACCTTAATCAATTTTGACAAAGAAGCCTGCTATCATCCAATCTACAGTCCTTGGTATCACGTGACAATGGCCTCGCTCTGGCTTCTTTCCTTATACTGGGTCGGGCAACACATATGGACTCCACTACAAGAAAGGCTTGCAAAAGTAGAAAGGTGTCTTTTTTAAGTTCAAGTATTTATTCATTATGTAATAAGTTTTGGATATCTAGATAGATAATGTAAATATTTAGTGTCAGTACATCCGTGAAGCTACCTGCATTGGCGACCATCAAATTCAAAAAGGTAGCTTTCCATAACAAAAGAATGTGGAGTTTATCGGCTTAACCTGCTGATTCTTTCCATTGTATTGATATTGATGTTTTTATGGGACAATGTCCTACTTATTAAACATGTACGAGTATCGGCATTATGCTTTCTTTTATGTGCCACACTATGATCATACAGGATCGATGCGAAACAAACTATAAGCGTACAAAGATTTCAATGTAAATGCGAGCTCCATCACAAATAGACATAATTCTTAGGATTGTGAGAGTCATTTCATACATGCACGGATAAGAGGCAAATAAATCTAATTAAATGGTTTACAAAGAAATATTTAGCTTCGAAAATCTTTTGGAAAACAGCAAAATCATACTTTTATGAAAACTGTTTTGGAATGGTATTTTTTATTTATTTAAAAATTGGGCCCTTGAAGAGAGTTGGTAAACGGTACGGTAACAAATGATCTTCAAAAAATCTTCGCAAGTATAGTAATGTCAATACTGTGGAATCATTTTAATTCGTGGGTGTCAATGTTCGTGGGTGAGCAAAATTTTACTTGTTCGTGGGGACGTTATTTCGTGTTTTACCGTAAATACGATGGCTCATTATATCAATATATTAACGAAATAAACGTTCGTGGGGATGTAATTTCGTGGGTAAGGGTGACACACGAATTCCACGAACATTGGTCTCCCGCGAACAATGATGATTCTACAGAATAAGTTATGCTTTACTGAGGCACTACAAAGGGTGATCAAAAAGTTCGCGAACAAGTTGAATAACTTACACAAAACAAATTAAATTAGGTTTCTGTGTTCATTATTTTTTTTAAGTAGGCCTCTCTTGTTTTACTGCACATCTGCTTTTGCTATGTTCATGCGCAAATCATGTGATCCAGACGGTCATGTGACATGCTCTAGTTCATAGACGCTAAAATATTTTTCCGAGTCTTATATTTCTTACCAAGCAAGGTAGTTTTTATAACAGGAACAGTCCATTTGTCAGAAATGACAAAATCTCGGAAAAACGATGGTTAGATGAGGATATCTATTCCTTGAAAGAAAATGGTGACCATCACAATCCAAGTCCTCTGTCTAAGAAAGGCCGTTTCTCCAATATGGATATAGTTGTGCAGACCTTCTTTTTTTCATATTTCATTTGTTAAAGACCTAAACTAAAAGATATTTTAGGGATATAATAATAATGTTATTGTTTAGATATTCGACAATTATCCTAGCTGTTTTACCTAACTAAGGACACATTTCTTCCCCAGCTTGCTTTCCCTGGCCTACGAAACAATGTCATTTTTAACCATCTACCTCCCACCAATTTAACAATCGATTCAGTTTATGGTAAAGCGTCTTGAAATCGTATTGTGTTCATAAACCTTGTACAATTAGTATAAGGTACTTCAAAGGAATTTCCAAGTTATGCGTTAAACTTTACAGCCGTTTGCTGCCTGAGTGAGACTATAACAACCATTTTGCTTCACGGGTCATCTACATTTTGACGTCAGTTTCACATTGAGACGTCACAATGATGGAGAAAATAATTAGTTTTCCTACGATATTTATAGAACATTGGCATGATCATAGGAGTGCCAAATTCTGATCTAAATTATGGTTTTGTAAATATAGAGATAGTTCGCAAACTCTTTGATCACCCCTTATATATCGATGAATATATCCCGGGGATATGGCTTGCCCATGATGGGCACAGTTTTACATAGGTTTGGAGAAAAATGAATCTCCTGATGAAGAACAATTAAGCATAATGGGTTTCTACCTTTTCATATTCCTATTTTTTTTTTCAAAAATTCCAACCAGTTGTCACTAAACAATTTATCTGATATATTTATGTAAAGATATGCTCAATGGTCTCTCTGCAACATGGAGAAGGTTTAATCATTTGATACTTCAATTTGAAAAAAAAGTAAACATTTTAAATAGGTCATTCTCATGCTTCCTATGAATAAACTATGAAATTGTTGCTTGACTTGTAGATTATTTGTCAATCCTTTGTATTGTGGAATTCTTCTGGAGCAGAATTTGATTTTGAACAGAAAACGTTGTCATCTGCAAATCATCAAAAGACAAAAAGATGCAGGTTCCTCAGAAAAGGAAAATAATATCAAGAAAAATAGAAGCCAGAATGAAAACATATTTCACATGTAAGCATACACACATGTATCTCTAAATAACATTGTTAAAAAACAATTTTCAAATGAAAAGAATGTAATAAATTGTTATTGCAAAAAAATTGAAAATTTTACATTTTTTAATGTTTTTTGTGATTTAAATATTATCAAAGAAACTATTATTATCAAAGAGCGTCATTTCCTCTGAGAGAATTTGTCGATTATTTGTCTTAAAACTTACATAGAATAAAAAAGAACAATAACGTTTTGTTTTAGATACAATATATTATAAAGATTTCTTCATCTATCTAAGGTTACAGAAACAGATTAAACCAGTCGATAAGGAAGAGGAAAACTTTACTTTACAAACCCCTCCCTTTGTTTACGCATGCGCTACCATGTGGCATGAAAATCGTCTGGAAATGGTTCAACTTTTGAAGTCAATTTTTAGGTAAGATATTTAGATGACCACAGTAACATAGGGTTTTTCTTTGTAGTTTATATATTTTTCACAGTAATGAAACTGTACATAACTTTCCAATTGAATTTTCAAGGAGAGGCTGACTGACAAACTCTGCCATTCAGTCAAATTTTACTAAACTGAAAAGCCTAGGTTTATCCTTGTAATTTATTTCAAATTTATTTCTAAATGAAGGATAATCTCGTCCATGCATATCTCTGATCCTTCGACATATTTAACACCAGTCTTTAACAAGACAATTTCAGCTTTTGAGAGTGTTATTCCAATTCCTAAGATTCGGCATGAGCATTACTGGAGTCATATAATTTGTCAAAATGCATAAGTATCTTGTACAACAAAATTGATACCGTATATGATTGAGAATGTATATAACACACATATTTTGTTTTAGAATGGATGAGGACCAGTTTTTAAAAGAGAAAGAATATGAAATTTCTAACGACATCCAATATCCACATGATTATTACAAGTTTGAAGGTATTTATCTTCATTGGGTTTTATCAAATTGAAAAGCAAGTTTTTTTTTGTATATATCTCCCTTTTGATATCAAGACAAAGTCGAGACTTTAAGAAGTGTCACATTTGCTAGCTCAGAGATCTGCAATTGGTCATGCTATAAAAATATCAAACATATTTGTTTTAGCACACATACTTTTCGATGATGCATTTCAAAAAGAAGATGTTAATGAATATGTTTATACATTTGCATCTGTTATGAACGAGGCTGCAAGGTAAGAATAAGAAGTCATGTTTTGGTGATTTAAAAAAAAGTTTATTTTAGAATTAACATTCATATTACTGTTTGTTTTTATACTATTTGAACAAATGAAGTGTATTTAAAAAAAAAACATATATATTTTATAATTATTCATTCCGTCATGCATTTAATAATATACAAAACAATCATTACACAAATATATATATTTGCCTTTGCCAATAAATTCGAATTCAAATTCGTGAAAATATACACAAAATCTATATACAGTTGTTCTATTGTCCGAGGCCAACTAAGGAAAAAATACCTGGTCTATTGACTGTCCAGGCATTAAATAATTGTTTTGTCTCCTAATTTCATTTTCAGCATTTAGTGTTATAAAAGAAATACTTATAGATGTTGTGCATCTGTAAAATAATCAAAGTAACTTTCAATAAATAAAATATCCTACCACTGAAATCTATTTAGAAAAAAAAAGAAAAAAAAAAAAAAAGAAAAAAGAGTAACCACTGATGTCTGCGCAATGTTTCTTACAAGTTCGAAACCCAGATCGATTTTTCCGAAATACAATGTACCTTGCCAGATCAACAGTTCAATAGATCTGCTTAATAAGGAAAACTGAAAACACATAGAGAATAGATGAACATATTAAATCTCTAAGAAAATAACTTAATTGATTTGATTAGGTAATACCAACTTTTTTCAAAGTAATTTCTTTTAATTGTTCTATTTTTCTTTACAGCTCTGTGCATTCTCATCCAATACAACTAGAGAAACCAGTTATTATATCGACCTATTACGGAGGACAGGTTATCTTCAGAATGCCTGGGGAAAATTTACTGTACATACACCTTAAAGACAAAACAAAAATTCGACATAAGAAACGATGGTCTCAGGTGCATTATTTTGTAATTCCAAATCTTTCAAAAGTAATTCAGGACTATACAAATCACGTTTTTGTAGTCATTAAATTTTAATACCAAACCTTATTTTGCCTGTAAATTCTAGGTGATGTGCATGTATTATTTATTGGGATATCGGCTCACAACCGAAATACAAAGTGAAATGGCAAAGAGTGCAAGGAAGAAAACAGAAACTGAAAACATCGAGGGATATTTTAAGAAAAAGGTAAAAATTTAAAAAGGCCTTGTGAAAGATTTTTGTTGTTTTGAAAAAAAAAAGAAACAGTGTTACCCTGACAAAAAAATATATTTAACTATAGTTTACTATTTTTAACTAGTTATAACTTTGACACTTTGAAAACTTTGATTTATTTTATTCCTCGCCAAAATTTTGATAGAAATTCATACTGACAAAAAATAGTATATACATGTATGTAAAGCTTTGCAACAATAAATCAACTGATTTTACTTTCGTTATATAAAAACCTATGAAATGTTTTTTTTTTTTGTTTTTTTTTTGTTTTTTTGTTTTTTTTTTTTCAAAAAGACAGTGCACTTCCTATATGTATATATAATTGGAATTTCTTACTAGTTGCGAACTGTAAAAGTTACAGAGAATCTGCTTAGTCCTCTTTTCAAAGAAACATGCTTTCCAGGGAAGAAACACGCATGTTTACTATTATATGTATATGTGCAATTACAAAAGCAGATTCCATGTAATTATTGCACTTCCACTGCACTTTCATTTCAAAGGCTGAAAACACATTCCTTCTTGCATTGGATGGGGACGTAGATTTCACCCCTGGCTCTGTTAGAGTTCTGCTCGATCGAATGAAAAAAGACAAGAAAGCTGGTGCTGCATGTGGAAGAATTCATCCAATAGGCAATGGTATTTGATACAAACTCGTCTGAATTTTGCTTTCTTAAAAGGAAATGTAGTATCTTTAAATATAAATATATTGTATCATATCACTTTATCCTGTATCGCATAGGTCCGATTGTCTGGTATCAGAAGTTTGAATATGCAATGGCACATTGGCTTCAGAAAGCTACTGAGCATGTACTTGGGAGCGTTCTTTGCTCCCCTGGCTGTTTCAGTCTTTTCCGTGGCTCAGCTCTAATGGATGATAATGTAATGAAAAAATACACGCTACTACCATCTGAAGCGTCTCAGATCTTAATGTACGATCAAGGTAAGTTTGGATATAAGCTCCTAATCATGAAATTGATAAGCTCCTAATCATGAAATTGATATATCTCGACTCAAAGATTAAGATTTTTGTTTTCTAAATATGGGAACAATTGTATAACTGAAATGTGACGGGAGGAAAATGGACAATGTTATTCACTAATCTAAAGAGTTTATCCTATGCTTCCTAACTTAAGGGGAAGATCGCTGGCTCTGCACTCTGCTTTTACAACAGGGATACAGAGTAGATTATGCTGCCGGTGCTGATGCGTACACTTATGCTCCAGAAAGCTTTAATGAATATTTCAACCAAAGAAAAAGATGGACACCGTCCACACTTGCTAACATCATGGCTCTTCTACAAGATGGCAAAAATACAGTAGAGGCGAATCCAAATATAAGTTGGCTTTATATTGTCTATCAAGGTTCGTTTGTCTTTTAAACCCAAACAGAAATCGATAACTAAATATTAAAACAAGGCATGTTAAATTAGTAAATGTATGAAAGATTTACCATTTCCATTGAAATTGAATGGCTTACTGGCAAAGAGACACCTGGTTTCATTAAATAAATAATTTCTACGGATAAGAGTATGTGAGGAAATCTTCTGGTTAGGATTACCGATTACTGATCTACCTACACGTGCTTGTTCATCAGATTTATATTTTCACTCTTTGTTAACAAATTGAAAGTCGTGAAGCTGAGTTAAATCAAATTATTCAAATCAAAATGTTTATGGACATGAAAAAAATTATTTGCTTTATGAATGTGAATATTTACACATTTTTTTTATTATAATAAGATACATTTACATGAACTCATTCATCATATAAATTCAAAACTGTTGCTCTTTTCAGTTTCTCTGATGGTTGCAACACTAATCAGTCCAGCGACAATTCTTATTCTGATTGCCGGCGCCTTTGTTGCCGTTTTCGGTTTGAATCTTATGATGTCATACATAGCATCCTTGCTTCCGGCTATTGCATATTTTATCATATGTCTCACATTCCGCTTAAACGTTCAACTTGCGATAGCTCAAATTCTAAGTGGATTTTATATATTACTCATGATGATTGTTTTTGTTGGTATGATTATCACAGCCGTTTCGGAATCTCTGTACCACCCCAGCGTCATATTCATCACTGGCCTAGTTGCAATTTTTGTTATTGCTGCTTTACTTCATCCAAGGGAATGGGGCAATATTATATACGGATTACTTTATTATATTCTTCTTCCGTCAGGGTTCGTACTTCTATTCATTTATTCTTTGTGCAATTTGAATGACATTTCATGGGGAACTCGAGAAAGTGGTATTACAAAGGAGAAAAGGGAAAAAAGTAAAGGACTTCTGTACAAAATATTCTCCACATTTAAAAAGATGAAGAATAACTTGTTTAAACCCAACCCTTCAGAAAAGGCCATGCTTCTTAAATTATTAGCGACAATGGCTGATATAGTTAGATTCAGGAAGGATCCTGTGATAAATAATAAAGAGAATGAACATTTAGAGGAGATAGTTACTCAGGCGACACCACTTCTAGATACTCATTCACAGGAGCAAAGTAAAAGGAGTTTGGAAAAGCTTTCCATGGAGAAGGTATACAAATATTTTAACATATCAGAGTATGAAAAGTATGAAAACTATTGACCCCTTATTCGATGCATCATTTAAAAAAAATGGTTGATATTCAATATAATCCAATGTTCCGAAATGGAAATGGCCTTGAATATGTTAAGGGCAGATGATATGGTTCAAGAAATGCATTTCGATTTTATGTCAATTAAGTGCCATTTATTTATAATTGAACAGATGTCTAGCGATTTACCAACGTGGGTAAACAAAGGTCCTTTCTCAGGAAGATATGTTCAAATGATGGAAAAGGAACGTCAATTTTGGAAATCATTTGTTGAGAGGTACTTCAGATATCTACACCTATAGTAAAGTATATATAAACAGTTTCCCTTTCTGAACATCGATATTTTTTTTTTTTTTTGTATAATATCTATAATCTTGCAAATGACAATATTCTGATGTTACCTTATTTAGTAACACCATACTGAGTATGCAGTCCCATCCAATCTTGGCAAATTATATAGGATATTTATCTAAGATTCATTGTAAAAATGGTGAAACAAAATCAAAGAAATAAGCATGCTATTTTTATTACATGTGAGCACAAAAAGATATTTCACTATCTATCTTTTTGTTTGCAGATATTTGAAACCTTTAGAGAGAAATCCTACAAAAGAAAATAGAGTGAAGGAAAAACTGAGGGAACTAAGAAACAATGTTTGTGGAGGAATGGCTCTTATAAACATGCTTTGCATTGCAGTGAACTTTATGTTGCAGTTACGAAGTCCTGCGATGATAACATTTAAACTTCCAGTACGAAATATGATATAGATATGCTTACCATTACATTCCCTTCGAAGTGGACACTACCTTCACCTCATTTTAATTTTATTTTATTTCAGAACTTTGTCAATGTACAATTTTTAAAACAGTATTTACATCAATAACCCCTTATGCCTTATTTTGATGTCATTATTATGTGTTCGTATATATTATATATTATAACTGTATACCTTATGCAAAATTCTTTTCAAATTGAAGTTAAAATTTCACATCTTTTCAGAAATATTTGATTTAAGAGAAATTATTCCGAATCATCAACTTTTCTTCTGAGTGATATGCATGTAACATCATTTGATCTCATATCGTATCTGTTTAACAAGCTTCAAATTAATCTCTTACCTTTATTCTTAGAAAAACAACGATGACGACGAAGACCAGAATTATGAGATGAAAATTGAAATTCTGGGTCTCCTGTTCATTGGTTTCTTCCTTATTATCCTACTGGTACAGTTTTGTGGTATGGTTATGCACAGGTAAACATGATATCATCCTACAAACAAACATTGTGATACACATACTGTATTTTAAGGTCATTGAACTTATATTCGTGAATATTGGCACTAGCTGGGTGTGCAACTACACAAACTAGTGTATTTGTACGGCCAATTCGTGACAACATTCATCTATATACACGTACATGTAAGTTCAATAACCCCAGTATTTTTACCTAAAACATTGATATTACTTATTTCAAATAGGTAACTAAAATTAATAAGAATGTTCAGTATCAGTATTTAAATGAACGTCTGTCCTGTAGGTGTCCAATATAGTATCATTCCACTGACCCTACTAAGCTTTATGATCTGCTTACTGAGGATTTATTGAGGCTGAAACGTACTAAATCATTAACTGATAATTTCAATGTTGTGTGAAAATTAACATATCTTATCTAGATGCCACTACCTCACATAAATATGCCTTTATAAAGTTGTTTGGATGATATTGTTTGTTTACAACTGGACGTTCGGTATTGAAAGCTCGTATTCGGAATGTTCTCTGCAAACAAGTACTCATACACATAATACAAAAACAACTTTTTCAGTAAAATGCCAAGATTTTAAACGCTAAAATGCTTTACATTTTTATAGATTTTAATATAGTCTATTTATAAGTTATATAATAAACGAGGTAATTTTTTACCCATTTTATTTTCAAACTTGCGCACTTGCAAGTATTTTGTCCTATTTTGAATTCGCCAAGTCACATTTTTTTTAGCTACCCCTTTCTTCCATGAAATCGCTTTGATTCAAATCCGTCAATCAATGACAATGGCAAAAGACGGGAAATAAATTGGGGGCAGAAATTTCTCTTTATACAATCAAGCATTAATCAATATCAAAAATTATAGTTTTCATCAATATAGTAAAAAAAAAATGTTTTGGCACTTTCAAACAACTACATTTAATTATTGAATCAGTCAAAGACATGGCAAAAACCTTAAACTATTAAGACGTCCCTTTATGTTTATGTCATTTTTTTTTCTACAGATAATGCTTGTTTGTCTTTTTCATGGAATTTTGCTGAATACCGCATCACTGAAATCTGCCTCTCTTTATCATTTCCTCTCATTTGCTCTTTCTCTTTCTCTCTTCCGTATTTTACAGAAATTTTTAATATGTCTAAATTTATTGTAGATGGGGTACATTTTTGCATCTTCTTGCCATCACAGAACTTCGAAATCCCTTTAAAAGAAAACTGAAAACAGATCTACATTCAAAAATATTAGAAACATATGAGATTGCAAAAGAGGAAAATCAGGAAATACAAGAAATACCTGAAGCTGATAGACAAGAAGAGGAAAACGCACTATTGAGACAAATTGAACATTTACAAGAAACAGGTTCTTTAGAAAAAAAAATGTTCTAAATTTTCATTACTAATAGATAATATTTGACAGTAAAGATTTTAGCAAGGGTTATTTTCCGTGGCCGCCGTATTAGAGATATACAATTTCGAGTCCCTTCATTATTTAACCTATTTATCCTTGTTTTCCCGGACAAATGGGTAAAATAACACATTTTTTCTAACGAATGTATGTTACTATCAATGACTTGGCATTTTTTTTTAATATGTTTGGGGGAGCAAAAAAAAAACTTACTGTTTCGTTGTGAGGGGGTGGAAGTGGCCAACTTTTTCAGTACCATATTAAACTTCTTTACCCTTATATCACTTTATTGAAACAAAAAAGTGGGGTGGGGATGGGGGGGCTAACGTTTTCAATAGTAAATTTTGATTTTGAAAAAAAGGTGCCCTCCCGCGCTTGCTACGTACTCGAACATGTAGTCGCTTAAAGAGGAAAATTCGCTAGTAGAATAGATGGCGGCTAAGGGAAGTAACTAGCTGAAAAAATAAATCATAAAAAAGCTTTTGTCTTGACACCTTTCAACATAATATTGTCCTAATATTGGCTATACATCTGCATGTCAGCCTTTCCAGCAAAAATATCTTCGGTCCTTACAAGATATTTTTATAAATCTGCTTTCAAAATTATGACAGTCCAGTTTCTTCCCTTTGAAACGTTTCATCTACGATTTCAATTGATGACTCTTATTCAATTTATCTACTAAAATGTAACTGTGTAGATTAAGTCTCACTACAATATGTTAAATAAATGAAAAAAAGAACTCTGAAAGCGTCCTACGATTTATACATCAAACAAATTAAAACGTTTTCATTGTACACTGTATGCCGCTGAATTTGTAAATTCTTTAAAATCCTTTTTTAATTTTCTTAGGAACCAGATATTACTCCGACTCATCTTCAGATGGAACCACTTCTTCTAAGCCACAACGAAAGTCCACTGACAACAAATCAATCAACACTCGTGCATTATTCCAACAGTACGGGCAAAACACTCTACATCGGATCAAAACCAATGACGACAGAACACGATATCCAAGAGACGAGAGAAAAAGATCTTTATTTAGTGAAGTAATGAATTATAACCAACGATACAGCTTCCGTCAAATCAGATGGAGAGATGGAAAAACAAGTTGGTCAAACCAAGCAGATGAGGCTACCAGAGAAGGGGAGAGAAGCACAAATCTTCATTTAAGAGGGGGGTTAATGCAAAGAAAGCTATCAATTTCTTTAATGAAGCACCAAAATGAATACGACGACGAAATATGACATATGCTATGAGAAAAAAAATAACACACATAAGATGGTTTTAAGAAAATGTATATAAAATGTATATTTATAAAGACAAATGACATGATATCACACAAATGATCAAAGACGAAAGTGTTCCCTTTTGTTGATGACAATTGATACATGTGTTTAATTTTCGTCCATAGATTTTCTTTTCTCTATATTTATGGTAAATGTCCCCATACAATTTGCCAATTCCTTTATATTATAATCATCTATTGTGTGTACACCTGAATTAAAAGGAGCAGCCAAGGGTACATTTGTGTCCCTTCTAATTAATGATACAGTTAAATTCAAAACATGTAATTGATATAAGCACCTGCCAGTTTCTTCCACATACACTACTTCTCAAACTTTTTAACATAAATCTCCATATACAATATTCCTAGTTTTGCAATTTATATTTTTTTTTTACTTGAAAGGTGTCTCCGTTTTCATCTTCAATATATGATGTATAATATGATTGATCAAAATATGATGTATATGACGTAAATCTATTCTGTTGTGATGTTTTTAACTCTGTATGTTGTAAACACGTTCCTCAGAATGCAAGGCAGAAATGTAGATAAGCGTTAATCAAAGAAATAAGGAATGAACATGAAATGACTTTTGGTATTTGAGAAATAATTAAATAAGGTAATCGGTTTTCTTTACATAGTTAGACCAATGTCTTAGAATAGAAACTTAAAGTTCTTTGGTACGCATGTTGGTTAACTGATACTGTATAGCGCTTATTTTAGCGGGATGCTTTTTTTGGCTCATTCTAGCTTTCTGTATATAGCCCTCTAAAATTTTATCGCTGATATAATCAATATTCTTCTTCGAATTCTTTGGTATCAATTAAAAGCTATGTGGCCGCTAAAATAAATTAAACAAAAAATATTGGCACATTTGTGAGCAGGCAAAACGCCAAATTTTACATCCGTAAAGACCACCCACTTTACGGTATTCAGAAAATTTATTGTAAGGTTATTGAATAAGATGACGTGTCACAAAATTTGAAGGTTCAGTGTCATGAAGTTTTTGTGATCAATAGAATGATTGATTTTGTAATACTGTATAAAAATGTTGTTTTCTTTTTCAAATTGTATAAAAATATTGTCATGTTATTAAGAAAAACAAAATCTATAAAGAAATTTAGCTTGATATGTCGAAAATGTTAACAATAACTGCCTTATTACACAAAGCAACAACATGTAGCTACATGTGTTACCGTGAAGTTTTACAGCAAAAACGTCACATTTAAAAACGATATTCAATAAAGTGCTTTCATTTTTAGATTTGATTTTTTTCTCTCTAATTTTGCACAATAAATAAAAAATGCACAAAATCAAAAATTCATTGAGATATTAAATTAAAATGGTTCTTGAAGAAATATTTTTAAAAATCTGAACTGCAATTTGCAGTAAACCTTACGAAATTCAAAGAGAAAAATCGTCCAAATGTCCGAAATGTTTTTATCGTTAATTTAAGTTACACTATTTAAAAAAAAAGTACTGTATGAATCAACATTAATTTAGTGCTGAATCAACAGTATCTATATGTACACTATACTGAGAACAGAGGACTAATCCCAGGACCTGTTGAAATGACATGGGATTGTTTTGAATTTATCTCAGTGAAATAAAAAAAAGCATAGTATTATGTCATATAAATGTTGTACTTTCTAGCGTGCTAAAAAAGACAAATTATGAACACATTTTCTTTTCGCAATGTTTATGCAAAATGGCAGAGAACTTAATCATTTTCAATGAACTGCACTGTACGAGGGTCATTCAAAACCTTTTTAGACATTTGTCATATTTTGTTTTATCTAACGTCATATTATATCCAAATATGGTACACGTATTTTACAACAAATTGAATATATTGAGTTAAAAACTGGAATATATCTTCCTGTATATAAAATTTATCAAAGATTAAAAACAGCAAAGGTAGGGTCACGGAGCAACGACAAAATCGAGTAATTTACTAATTTTCACTTTATAGTATCCATAGCCATACGGCTAATAAATGGAGCTGAAACAAAATAAAATTTATATGTTTAAATGAAATCTTGCTGTGTGACTTAAGATAATATCAGATAATGTAATATGGTGCTCCATCGAAAAGATATCAGTTTCAAAATATATATGGACTTCATTAAAAAAATAAAGGCACTCCCCAACCCCAAAGGAGAAAAAAGACGTTAAACGACGCCATGGAGCAAGGAGTAGAAATAAAATTTTGCTTTGCATTCGAGAAACTTCTTTTACAAACTCCAAAATTTTTTTTTATAAACCAGGGAGTGTATTGAATAAATAAGCCGTGTATTTAAATGAGATAGAAAATATCCATAGGCAGAAATAAGGTCATTGCTTCGAATGATTTAAAAATAATCTTTTTTTCTATAAAAAAGATTATATTTGTATATTAATCGAGAGACCAATCGTTGACATTTTGAATGTTGAAAAAAAACAACAAAAAAACAGCGCGCTAAGCTACGAATATTTCTGCGTTTAGCACAATTGAATATTACAGGAAGCTATATGCCCCCGTTCACGAAGTTTGGGGGGTATATACCAGTAGTTCTTGTCATGTCCGTTAGTCTAGCTGTCTTTCTGTCTGTCTGTTTGTTCGCAAAAAACTTTAACCTTGTCCATAACTTTCAAATTAGAGTAGCTATGACTTTCATATTTTACATATGTATTCCTTGTGACAAGACCTTTCTTTGGGTACCACTAAATTTGACCTTTTGACCTAAACCTTGGAATTCGACACACTTTTACACAAATATTCCAAACTTTTACTTTGGCCATATCTCTTGAACAGTGAATACCAGGACATTTATACTTGAAATTTGTAATCTTTGTGGAAAGATCTTGTATTGCATACTAACAACCTTGACCTTTTGACCTTGACCTTGGAGTTTTTTGTACTTATTTAAAAAAAATAATAACCTTGACCATAACTTTTGAACGGGCAAGTATAGAGCTTCCGAACTTCACATATATAATCCATGTGAGGGGTCCCTTCAAGGGTTACAAAGAACTTTGACAGGTCACCCTTTTACCTTGACCTTGGAATTTGACCTACTTTTAAACAGCAAACCTAAAACAAAACTTATAAAGCGGTGAGGCTAGTGCTTTCACACTTTACATATTTAATCCTTGTGATTAGCCCTTTCATTTGATAGCGTAATCTTTGAACTTTTGACCCTGACCCTGGATTTTGACCTACTTTTTAACCTTGGCTATAACTTCTGAACATTTCGGATTAGGGCTGTCATACTTCAAATATGTGGGGTTTTTTTTTGACAAGACCTTTCACTGGATACTAATTATTTTGATCTTTTGACCTTGACCTTCAAGATTTTCGTACTTATGAAAAAACTTCAACCTTGGCAATGACAATTGAACGCCAAGGGCTAGTGATCTCATACTTGACATATGTAATCCTTGAGAAAAGTCCCTTCATTGGATAAAAAGATCGTTGACCCTTTGACCTTGAAGTTTGACCAATTTCCAAAAAAATAAAATAAACGTTGACTGTATTTTTTGAAGGGTTAGGGCTAGTTCTTTCGTTCTTTACATATTTAGTCCTTGTATCAAGACCTTTCATTTGATTGCGAGACCTTTGAACCCTTGACTTTGAAGTTTGTCCTACTTTTTAAAATCTTTAACCTTGGCCAGAAGTTTTGAAAGGTTAGGGCTAGTGCTTCTATACTTCAAATATGTATTTTTTGTGACAATACCTTTCATTGGATACCAATTACCTTGATCTTTTGACCTTGAATATGCTTTATTTTTCTTTGCTTGTTTGCTTAGTTCTCGTTTTAAAACAATGATTTTTGATTTCAGTGTTAGTTTCAACGAAAAATACTACAGAGTGTGAGACGGTTCTTTATTATGATCTATCTCACCAGTTTCCAAAACTTTCGATAAGGTCAAAATCTGCATCGGAATATCTTCCTATTCGTATTTACGAGGATGCTGAGTCTGAACAGACCGAATTCGCTGGAACAAATTGTTTATTTAGTGTAAACAGGTCATCTGACGAAACAACGACGACGTATACGTATGTTATTCAGAAATGTGAAGAGAGTATCGAAACTTTTGAGACCTTCGACTTTGGACTGAATAAATCCGGAGAGATTATATAAGTCTTGACTCGGACATATTCTGTTCTAACTCAAATACTGAGGTAAAGAAATATGTTAAAGGTAGATGTTCATGGTACAGTCCTCAGAATATCACCATCTACAAAGACAAAATGGTCGCTGACAACGTAACACTGCTTTATCTCAATTACGTTTTTGAGCCTATCGGATTGAGCCTATCGGACCGTGTACGGAATTGTGCATAGCATTTTTTCAGAAATGGTATATCCGTATCATTTAGTGACATCAAGCAGCACTTACCTGACAAATCTTTTTTTTCTCTTTTTGAATAGTTACTGTATTTTCTGGTTCGTGAGCAATATGAACTTTCTTATTGAAGTTCTTTATTTCATAAAAGGTAATTGTTACCAGTGAGTTTCGATAGAAAGGGGACTAATATACCTTTTTCAACCTCCTATATGTACTAATAGCATATTGTCTTTTTGTTATAGCATTTTTGACATTTCGATAACCTTATTATCTTGAATCTGTTTTGCATTGCTTGATTTACTGAAAGGAAAATAAATTGTTTTTGTTTGTATGTTTTTTTTTTTTTTTTTTTTTCGGGGGGGGGGGGGGGTCCTTACTGTTAAATCGGTTAAAACAAGTTCATGCTTTTACTTGGAGGCCTAAAAGTAATTTAGACTTCGGTGTAAAAAAATATCATTAACAGGTACCTTGACAACTCCAAATTAACAAGATATGAATTAAAATTATTGTGTATTAAAGCTTTAATTATAAATGTATTTCGCTATATACATATATAAGAGCCAAAATTAGACAAGGAAAACACTAGTAGAGACCAAGTAAAATTCGCCCTAAATATAATGGTGTGCTAGTCATAGTTAGTTTAAAAAACATGGACTTTATGCACTAGCTTAAAATCCTAACCCATATTGGCACTAAAATACTCTGTAAATACATGTATAAAGTGATAAATAATCACTTTTTTATCTTATATTTTGATTTTTTGATCCTAGTAAAAACCACAAAAGCATAAATTACTAGAATTGATTTAAGTTAGGTAGTTACACATTACTATAGTTTTTTTTTATTACTAGTAGTAGTATATTTTTACTGATTTAACTGATTTTCACTCAAAACAATTTATTTTGTGTTCATTTTTGCATTAGTATAAATTAAAATTCCGTGCTTCCCAAAAGCACATAAATCAACCTTTAGAGGAAATAAATGCATGGCATTTCATCCGTAGACAACTTGACCGATGTATAAACATTTGACATTTTAAACTTTAAATGTTAATCAGAGAAGGATCATCGCTTTTTTGCAGCTGAAGATGCTTAGAGATTTAATTTTATTGCCCTTGATTATTATTTAGAAAATCGATTCCATATGCTGTGTTTATTGGTATTCTAAGAATTAACTATTTTAATACTAATCGTTCTACGATTGCAAGAGTTTTAAACCAATTTTATTCTCATATAAACAACTGCAAATTAAATCTTTATCGCCAGGTGCCCATAGGAAGCATACATGACATTTTCTATGTCAATTTATTCATAGTGTTTGTACTTTTTAAGGAGATCAGTGAGTTGCAGAAGCGTAAACTTCAATTTTTTAGTTATGTTTTTGTATAGTGTCTTATAACATGTTATTACTTCTTTTTTCATTTACATGTAGCATTGTTTCGGCGAATTTTCACATAAGTTAAAGCATCTTTTCAGTATGAGGGATTTCTTTGATAGAATGTATATCAACTTAAAAATATTGATTTGAAAGATATTGACTTAAGCCTGAGAGTTAAAGAAATCGGTATTCTGTATTTTTGGGATATATTGTTAGCAGATCATTTCTATACTCAGATTAAAAAAAAGCTGGAAGAGTGGCACAGAGTTACAAGGAAAGGCACACTATTTTATCAATATTTATAAACACACAATGATATAAAATATTATTAAAAGGCACAAATTAATAAGTGCAAAACTCAACTTTCAACTTTCAACACAGATTCTGTTGACGATCCTATGGCAATGGATTGATTAACCTA